TGGGTAACTTATAAACAACAGAAGTTTATATCTCACAGCTCTGAAGGCTGGGAGGTCCAAGATCAAGGCACCAGCATGGTCGGCTGAGGGCTTTCTTCCTGGTTCATAGCCAGCATCTCCTTGCTATGTCCTCAGGTGGAAGGGGCAAGGGAGCTCTGTAGGGTCTCTTTCATAACGGCACTAATCCCTTTCACGAGGCTTCCATTCTCATAACCTAAGCACCTCCCAAAGGGTCCACCTTCTAATACCATCATCTTTGAAGGTTAGGGTTTCAACATACGAATTTTGGTGGGGGGCACATCCAGATCATAGCAACATCCAAGATATTTAACATTGGTACTAAAATATTATCTAATGTATATTCCATATTTAAATACTTGTAAATCCCCCCCAATTGTCCACTATAGGTTTTTTTTTTTTTTAAACATCCAGGATCCAAGCAGGAGTAATGTATCGCATTTGGTAGTTTTTCTCCAGTCTTTAGAATACTTCCTCTATCACAGTTGACTTTTTAAAGTCCAGGCCAGTTATTTGGTAGAGTATCTCACAATCCAGTCTGATTAATATCATGAGGAAATAATCAGGGTAAACATTTTGGTAAGGATGCTACATAGGTAATGTGGTATATTTCCCGTTACTTCCCACTATAGTACATACCTGGGAAGATGACTAAAAAAACGCAACCCAGTACTGTGGTACCATCCCTATAGATTTAAAGTTCTCCTAACAAATAGAAAGTGCAGTTGGGGGGCAGAGAAGATTGAGGGAGGCCACAGAATGAACGCCCTTTGGAGACAATCTTGGTTGAGTGGTGCTGGTTGAAACCAGATGGCCCTTGTAATCACTCAGGGGAGGCAGTGGACCTGTGGCTTCAGGGGAACAATGTCACTCCAAATAAACACATCATAAATAAAACGTGTGCCCCCGGTGTGGAAAACCCAGGTCCCACCCCAGGGCGAAGTCAGAGGTCAAGGTGCACAGGGACCTCGCCTGAAACAAGAGCAGCGATTGCCATAACCCTTTCTCTGCCCACACGTGAGCTGGTGGGTGGTGTTGGGCACTTCCTCTGAGCGATGCAGATCCACTAGAGCACATACAGGGATCAGGGTGGGGTGAAGATTTCAAAACTATATCTTCGGGGAATTCCTGGTGGTTCAGTGGTTAGGACTCGGCGCTTTCACTGCTGAGGGCCCAGGTTCAGTCCCTGGTCAGGGAACTAAGATCCCTCAAGCCGTGTGGTGCAGCCACAAAAAACCCAGAAAAAACAAAAACCATGTCTTCAGAAGCTGTTTGAAGGAGCCGGAATGTGTAGCCTGACTGCAAGAAGTATCCTGGGGGACGTTACAGTGCTTCATTCTCTCATTTATTTCTTAGACAAACATTTATGACACACCCACTCTGGGACCATGCTGTGCTGGGCTCTGGGAGTGCCAGGGGGACAAACACATTGCCCTGCCTCCAAGGAGTTCACAGTCCTGTGGGGAACCAGCACGTTTGGGTACCTTCAAGTAGGCTGGCACTCAGAAGAGGAAGCCCTTTGATGATGTTTAAGACCCATGGGTGAAAGTTACCGGAAGTCAGACTTGAGTTCCATCCTATTAGACCTGCGCTCCCTAACGAGCTCCCTGAGGTGGGGTTTTGTTCCTGGTCACTGGAGTAGGTAAGCAGAGTGCCCGGGGAGGACACAGGAACAGCCTTTTTTGTTCCACAAGTCATGTAAAGTCAAATTGCATGAAGAAATCTTACTTGAAGCATTCACTGAAGTTTTTCGCAAGAGAGTCCAGTATATGAAGATGTTTCATCATCTCCCTGATAACCAGGGATTGTCTAGGGCTGCTTGTCTGGAGATGTCAGAGATCTGTTGTGTCTCTTACTTTGAAAACAAGGGAGTTTTTGTCCCTTTTTATAGGTGGGAAGCCTGAGCCAGAGAAGTCATGTAACTTTCCAAAGTCCCACAGCACAGACGAAAAGTCCTTGGTGGACTTCCCTGGTGGTTCAGTGGTTAAGACTCCGCGCTCCCAGTGCAGGGGCACGGGTTCAGTCCCTGGTTGGCAAACTAAGATACCACATGCCACATAGTGTGGCAAAAAAAAAATAAAAAAAAAAGTCCTCGGCCTCCTCATCCTGACCTTCCTTACCAGCTCAGTGATTCTCAAAAGCAGCAGCTCTGTTGCTGGCAGAAGGAACAGTAATAAGGAGCCCTGGGGCTCTTATTCCACTTTTCGTTCTAGCTCCAAGCCTTCTTCGTGGTGTCAGACGACATCATGGATTCATCCCTCACCCGACGGGGCCAGATCTGCTGGTATCAGAAGGTAAAGTGGGCGGGAAGGTAGCGGTGGGCATGGGAACAGGCCACGGGGAGATGGTCACGTGGAGCCTGTGGAGGTGTTCAGAGTTACAGGTTCTTGGTATGAGTCTAGGCCAAAGACTGATTGCTTGTTTTTCTGTGTCTTTGACAGCCAGGCATAGGTTTGGATGCAATCAATGACGCTTTCCTTCTGGAAGCATGTGTCTACCGCCTGCTGAAGTTCTACTGCCGGGAGCAGCCCTATTATATGAACCTGATTGAGCTCTTCCTGCAGGTGTGCTGCAGACCAGGGCTCAGTGCCCAGAGGCTGCCCACAGTAGCCTTGGCCTCTGTAGGACATTCTCGTCTAGCTTGTTTCGGGACACAGGAGATACCTCGGTTTGCCTGGATGGGGAAGTAATTGAGGAAGGGAATTGGGGAGGGTGGTGGTGGCGAGAGGGGCTTCTGTGTCTCTGTGACTGAGGAGTGGTAAGGGACGGTGTGTGTGACTGGATTGGCCTTGAGTCTTGGGCCCCTCTCTCCCTCCTGCTGTCTTTCTGACTGCCCAGGTGTCAACTGGTATGGGATGTAGGGCCCAAGATTTCAGGGTTCTCCAGCCCTGGAGAAAGCCCAGGTCATGGGCCATTTTCCTCTTCCTTAGAGTTCTTATCAGACTGAGATCGGACAGACCCTGGACCTCATCACGGCCCCCCAGGGCAATGTAGATCTTGGCAGATTCACTGAAAAGAGGTGAGGGACAATGGGAACCATATCTGGACAGTGAGGGAGGGCTGGGGCGGGGGCGTTATCCTTCTGAGGAGTTTATCTTCTCCCCGTGCTCAGGTACAAATCTATTGTCAAGTACAAGACAGCTTTCTACTCCTTTTACCTTCCTGTAGCTGCTGCTATGTATATGGTGAGTGAGCCTCCCCACCCTCGCTGCCTTGCCCACGTGGGCCATTGGATAGGAGGCCACAGGGCAGACAACTTTGGACAGTCTGGTGCCCCCACTGAATGGCTGTGTGATCCTGAGCAAGTTACTTAATCTCTCTGAGTCTGTTTCCTCAGCTGTAAGATGAGGATAAAAATCCCCACCCATGGAACTATTGTGAAAATTAACTGAGTGGTTAATATGAATGTGGATGGCCCATCAAGGGGGAACAATAAATCCTCCATCTGAGTACGGATAGGAGTGGGGAGGATATAATTCAGGCTGAGAGGGAGGAGACTGGATTTGGAGGTGGTCAGTGGGATTAACTGTCTGTGCTGACCTTCTCCAAGTTTCCTTTTTATCCTGAAAGAATTTGGAAATGGCGAAAAGATTAGGAAGAAGGATCAGTGACTCAGGGACTGAGCCTTATGAGAGAAGAGATAGTCTGAGGGCCTCCAGAATGGACTCACCTCTGCCATGACTCACAGGAAGACCCAGCTAAAATAAGTGGGATGGGGGCTGGGCCATCAGTCAGGATTTCCTAGATCAGGGAAGCCAGGGATGTCTGAAAGGAGAGGACAGAAGATTTGGGGGCTGCACTGGGGCAAGACCTCGTGGAATGAAGCGGCCACAGGAAGATGAAGGCATCTCTGGTGTATGGCTTGTTAATCCCCTTTTCACTGTAGGCGGGCATTGATGGGGAGAAGGAGCATGCCAATGCCAAGAAGATCCTGCTGGAGATGGGAGAGTTCTTTCAGATTCAGGTAGGAAGGCATGAGGCACTGGCAGAGAAAAGGCTCCAACTTTCCTCTTTCCCTGCCTTGGAGCCTCTTCATTCCTCCTTTTCTGCACCTGCCCCCACCCAGGATGATTACCTTGATCTGTTTGGGGATCCCAGTGTGACGGGCAAGATCGGCACTGACATCCAGGACAACAAGTGCAGCTGGCTGGTGGTTCAGTGTCTGCAACGGGCCTCTCCGGAACAGCGCCAGATCCTGCAGGTGCCTGAGAGAGGGCTGTGGATCCCTGAGCTGCTGAAAAAGGGGATAGAGCAGTGGTTCTTCAGTGAGGGTGATTTTGACCCCCCAGAGGACGTTTGGCAGTGTCAGGAGACATTTTTTTTTGTCATAACTTGGTGTGTGTGCATGTGCCACAGGTATCTCTAGTAGGTAGAGGCCAGAGATGCTGCCCAACATCTTACAATGCATACAGTAGCTTTCCACACAAAGTATTATCCAGCCCAAAATTTCAAATGTGCCAAGGGTTGGGAAACCCTGGACTAGAGGAAACTGAGGCCTGAGCCACTATCTGAGCATTTGGGATGGGGAGGGGGAGGGGGAGGTTCAAGATCTTAGATACTAAGAGACACTTGAAACTGGAGGCAGGGATGGAGTGAATGGCATTGGAGATGTTCTGGAATATCTGGATGGGGGAAGGAGAGGGGACCTGGAGGTGCTGGGGGGAGATTAATAAGCCCATTTTCCTGCCTCCAATCCTTCAGGAGAACTATGGGCAGAAGGAGGCCGAGAAGGTGGCCCGGGTAAAGGCGCTATACGAGGAGATGAATCTTCGGGCTGTGTTCACGCAGTACGAGGAACACAGTTACAGCCACATTATGGGTCTCATTGAGCAGTATGCTGCGCCCCTGCCCCCAGCCATCTTCTTGGGGCTAGCAAACAAGATCTACAAGCGGAAAAAGTGACTTAGAGACTGTGAAGGTGGAGGGGGAGGCTCTCAATAAATCGTTGTCTAACCTGTGGTTCTTCTGTTCCTGCTTGTGCCAGCCAGGGGCGCAGCTCTGTCTAGAATGGGCAGGGTGGGGGGCAGTTGCATGGAAGCGAGGACCTCGGGCCTTGGCTTCAGGACCCTCTTGGGACTGAAAGCTTAGGCTGCATCAAAAGCCATTGAGCCGGGCCTGGGTGGGTGACACAGGCGAGACGTCAAGCGCTGGGGGCTGGGTCTGAGCCACGCCACGCCCATGCGTGAAGGGGCGCGGCTGCGCAGCGCTGGCGCCGGTTGTCCCAGCTCCCCTCCCCTCCAGTCTGTGCAGGCCGGGCGGGGACCCGAGCTGCGAAGGAGCAGACGCTGGAGCGGTTGCAGGAGGACCCTGGTGAGGATGGCTCGTCCTGTGGGTGTGGATGGACGGGTTGGGGCACGCGGGGTGGGGCAAGAGAGGTTAGCGGTAAAAAATGAATAGAGAAGGGGTGGGCTGGTAGCTGGATGATAGAGACAAATGGGGAGAGAATGGATAGACGCGCTGGTTTTCGGAGCAGGGTGAACGTGCACCGTGGCTGGAGGCCGGAGCTCGGGGTCTGTGCCGGCTGGCCCAACTGCCAGGCGGAGTTGACATGATGACGGCTGCTCCGTCCTTTCCCCCACGCCCGCCCCTTTCCTGCATCAACCAGCCAGACGAGCCTCCCCACCACCCAATTTCAGAGCATCTGGGCGGGGCGTCCCTTGACCCCTTCCCCTGGGAGTGAGGGGCAGGCTGGGGAGCAGAGCCAGATTGCAGCAGAGAGGACCCGGAGTCCATTCTGGGCCCCATTCTTTTCCAAGCCCCTGCACCTCCAAGGAGATCGAGAGCGCAGCCGCATTCTCTGACCCTCCCCGCCCCATTCCTGGGGGGTTACATTCGACTCCACCTGCAAACACTGCAGCGGAAACTAATGGCCAGTCGATGTCTATTTGCATCTCATTTAAATATTGTCCAAGGCGCCTTTCCAGGCCTGCCCCAGCCGTCAGTCACCTCCGTGTCCTTCCCGCGGCCCGCTCCCTCACTGGCTGGGTTTCACCATCCCTGTCTTCTAGGGCTGCATCTGCGGTTGCCAGGTAGGTGGATGTGAGAGGCCTGCTCCTCCTCATTCTCTAGAGGCCATCCCGTCGCCGCTGGCACCATGCTGTCCCCTCAGAGGGCTTTACTCTGCAACCTCAACCACATCCACCTCCAGCATGTCTCTCTGGGCCTGCACTTGTCCCGCCGTCCGGAGCTTCGGGAGGGGCCCTTGAGCACATCCCCTCCCCCAGGTGACACTGGGGGCAAGGAGAGCCGGGGCCCCTGCAGCGGGACCTTGGTGGACGCCAATTCCAACAGCCCAGCCGTTCCCTGCCGATGTTGCCAGGAGCATGGGCCAGGCCTAGAAAACCGGCAGGACCCAGCACAGGACGAAGAGGGGGCTGCCTCTCCCTCAGACCCGGGTTGCTCCTCCTCTCTCAGCTCCTGCTCAGATCTTAGCCCTGATGAGTCCCCCATCTCGGTCTACTCCAGGGACCTCCCTGGCAATGAGGATGTCCACCCTCAGCCCAGCATCATTCCTCTGGAGCAAGGCTCCCCACTGGCTTCTGCAGGTCCAGGCGCCTGCTCCCCAGACAGCTTTTGTTGCTCTCCTGATTCCTGCTCTGAAGCTTCCTCTCCACCTGGCTCTGGCCTGGACTCCAACTGCAATGCCCTGACCACCTGCCAGGACCTGCCTTCCCCAGGACTAGAGGAAGAGGATGAGGCTGAGGAGCAGGACCTCCCTACCTCTGACCTCCTAGAGGCTGATGATGGGAAAATCGATGCTGGGAAAACCGAACCCAGTTGGAAAATCAACCCCATTTGGAAAATTGACAAGGAGAAAACTGAAGCTGGCTGGAAAATCACTGAGAACAATAACTCTGATTGGAAAGTCAATGGGAATATTAACTCTAGCTGGAAAACTGAACCTGGAAAATTCGACTCCGGTTGGAAGACCAATACAGGAATAACTGATACGGGCTCCAAAACAGATGCAGGGAAAACTGATGGGGAATGGAGAAGTGACGTCAGCAAGGAGCCGGTGCCCCACCGGACAATCACGTCCTTCCACGAGCTGGCCCAGAAGCGCAAGCGGGGCCCAGGGCTGCCCCTCGTGCCGCAGGCCAAGAAAGACCGCAGTGACTGGCTCATCGTCTTCTCGCCAGACACCGAGCTGCCCCCCACGGGGTCGCTCGGTGGCTCCCCGGCGCCTCCCCGGGAAGTCACCACCTTCAAGGAACTCAGGTCCCGAAGCCGGGCCCCGCCCCCGCCAGTCCCGCCCCGAGACCCCCCAGCTGGCTGGTCCTTGGTCCCGCCCCGGCCCCCACCTCCACCCGTCCCTCCACGGAGGAAGAAGAACCGACCTGGGCTGCAGCCCATAGCAGAGGGGCAGCCCGAAGAGGGCAGGGCGGGGAGCCCAGCTGCTGGTGAGGAGGCCCCAGCCGCAAAGGAGCCGGAGGAACCAGGCCCGCAGGCCGGCGTTGAGGGTAAGAGGCCACAGGAGGTAGCGAGAGGAGGGCTGGGCTTTGGCCTCGCCCACACCTCCAAAGCTTCCAACCCGACCCCCTGTCTCCCCTCCATTCTGTGTCACCCATCCTTCCCGTCCCCTTCTACCACGGAGCGCTCCGGGAAAGGGAAACTGGGTGGGTCCTTGGGTTACGGGACTAACTCTTTGCTCCCTCTTTCTCCCGCCCCTCCTTGCCTGGCTGCCCATCCCGCTGGCCTCCTTCCCCTCCGCACCTGCCCCGCCAATCCTGCCTGCAGCCAGTCCCCTCCCGCTCCCTCGGCCTCTGGTTTTCCGGTTCTCGGCTGACGGGCGCCCCCTGTTGGAGGGTGGGGGCGCGGCCGCAGCTGGGTCTCTGCTCCTGGCGCCTCTGGCCGGCTGGCCCGGCGCTGGGCTGCGGCTACTGGGGGCGCCGAGTCCCCCAGAGGAGCAGCTACTGCCTGTCCGCCTGTCCCCGGTGGGGGCCAATTCGCCTCCGGCCAGGGGGGACCTGCCTTGCCTGGCCAGCCCTGAGCTGGCACTGCTGCTGTCCCCGCTCTTTCCCAGAAGTAGCACCTTCCCCGCCGCGGCTTCCCCACTCCGCCAGGTACCCGCCCCCCCGCTGCCACGGCCACCTCGTCCGCCGAAGGCCCCTCGCTGGACCAGGAGCCCACCGCCTCCTCCCAGGCTACGTAAGAAGGACCCGGGCCAGCCCCGCGGGCCACGCCTCAGGCGGGGCTGCCCCGCCCACTCCAAAGCCCCACCCATCCTCGCCCAGACCTATTCTGGGTCCTGCCCTTCAACCTGGGCGGATTCTAAGTTCATTGGTACTGGGGAGTCTGGCCCTGCTGGCTCCCTGTACTGGGCAAAGGTTGCTGCTTTTTCCGCTTCGTGGCCCGGCCACTCTCCCTCGAGGCCCGGGCATAGTGGATAGGGGCTTAGCAGGCTTTCATGCGTTTAAGGGAGTCCCAGCAAGTCCATTGGTAAGGACCTTGGGTCACACCCTCTGTGGAATTCTCTGGCCAGTGCAGTTCGAGCCTGATCCCCACCTTGCTCGGGAAGGGTAGAGGGTGAAGTTCGCTGAGCTCATTGGCTGAGGGGGTTCTGGTCACTCCTTCTCCATGGGGCCAGCCCCACGTGGGCTGCAGCGGGCACCCTCCTCCGAGATGCTGGCGCAGGACCCCGGTTTCCCCTTTCCGGCGCCTTCCAGCCTCCCAATCCTTGGGTCTCCTCTCCCCCTGTCTCTCCTCCCTTTCCCGTCTGTCTGTCTTTCCATTGGTCCAGGCTCCCCACGTGCTCCTTGGGTCCCTGCAGACCTGACAAGGGCCCCAGGCGGCGGGCACAAGGCTGCCCCTCCCTTCCCTCGCCCTGTCATCTCCCGCCTTACAGGCCTCTGCCTGGCAGGCGGGAGGTGAGCGCGGCTGCCCCACGTCGGGACTTCCGGGATCGAGGAGCTGGGCCGTGAGGAAGGGAAATAGGAACCGGGAAGTGGGGAGCAGGATGGCAGTGCTGAGATATGTGCAGGATTTCACTCTGGGAGCCCGGGTCGAGCTGCCGTATGCTCCACCCAGCCCTGTGCTCCCTTTCCCAAGACTTCAAGGGCAGGGATGCTGCAGACCCGCGGGAGATGACCCGTGTGGAAGCCTGGAGTCCTTGGGGTAACCCCCGGTGTCACTGCGTTCTTCTTCCCTTACCCCAGTCCGTAGTTCCTGGTCGTTTACCGGCGTCCCCGGGGACCAGCGACTGTGGATGGCAGAAGCCCAGAGTGGGACTGGCCAGCTGCAGGAGCAGAAAAAAGGTAGGACACCCTGACTTCCGACCCTTGGTTTGGGAATCAACTTCCCCTCGCTTAGGCCCTCCTCTCTCAGGGTCAAATTGTGTAAACCGGGCTCTCCAAGTCCCTTGGGGTTTGCCTAGGGAGAGACAGGGGGCTTTGACGCTTCTTCCCTTCCCTGGCCCCCATCCAGGTCTCCTGATAGCTGTCAGCGCTTCAGTGGATAAAATCATCTCGCACTTTGGGGCCGCCCGGAACTTAGTGCAGAAGGTGAAGGTGCCTGTGGGAAGGGCGTTGGGGTTGAGGAGGTGAATGTAGCTCTGAGGTGCAGGAGCAATCGGCGGGGAGAAGGCTGGAGGTATCTCTGGACCCATGCCCATTGCACTGCCTCCAGGCCCAGTTGGGGGATAGCCGTCTGAGCCCAGATGTGGGGCACCTCGTGCTGACCACCCTTTGTCCGGCCCTCCATGCCCTGGTGGCCGACGGGCTGAAGCCTTTCCGGAAAGACCTCATCACTGGGCAGCGCCGGAGCAGCCCCTGGAGCGTGGTGGAGGCGTCTGTGAAGCCAGGTGAAGGGGGAGGAGTGTGGGGCTGGGCGGGCGGGGGCAGGGACTGGGGCAGGGACTGGGCCTGGCTGACTGCGCCCTGTGTCCTCAGGCTCCAGCGCCCGTTCCCTCGGAACCCTGTATGGCCAGGTCAGCCGTCTGGCCCTGCTAAGAAGCAGCCGTAGCCGCTTCCATGCCTTCATCCTGGGCCTCCTCAAGTGAGTGGCCTTCTTTCTGGCATCCTTCCCATGGCCTGGAGATGGCAGGAGTGTCATGGGTGGGACACATGGTGGGTGCCCCATGTCCCCAGAGAAGGCCTTCCCTCTTCCAGTCTCATCTCCCATCCTCCACCCACAGGGGGCTGGAGTCCTCCACCTCCTTGAACTTCTGTTCCCTCCTCTCTCCCCCAGCACTAAGCAGTTGGAGCTGTGGTTTTCCAGTCTCCAGGAAGATGCAGGTCAGAGGCTCAGATGGGAGAGGATGGGGGTGCTAGGCTGGGGCCGGTGGGGGAAGGGATCTCTTCTGTTGGTTCCCCCTGGTGCCAGATCTTACTACTCTCTTGCTTAAAACTCTTTCAAGGAGTCTTATTGTCCATAGGAGGAACGACCCAAATCCTCACCGTAACCTCCAAAGTCTTGGTTATCTGGCCTCTGCCTTCTTCTGCTCGCTGCCTTCAGGTCTGGGGCTTTCCCTGGTCCTGTGACAGTCTTCCTTTCCTGTTCTTCCTGCCCCAGGGCCCTATTTTTACTATCCCTCCACCTAGAATAGGGCTTCCTGCCCCTCCTGCCTCCTCATTAACTTTCATTCATCCTTTGGGTCCTTCTTCAGCGAGGCTCTACCCCCAACCTCAAACTAGGCTAACTCGCCCCCATTCCGCACCCCGCTCGCCCATTTTGCTCCCATGGCCCTCAAGTCCTCCTTTTCGTTATAGATTTGTCACCACACGTTCTACGTGTGTCTCCCTCTCTAGGCCGTGGTTCCACACAGGCGGGGATGTGGCAGCTCTGCACCCCTCCGTGTCCCCCTCTCTCTGCCCCAGTGCCCAGCATAGTAAGAGGCCTGGGAGGATGTTCGCCGATTGGTGGGCTGATGCTCTGGACTAGGCCCAGAGCAGGGGCTGATGTTAGCCTGCTCTTTCCCAGGCCTGCTGTCCCTTCTGTACCTGCCCACCGGCTTCTTCTCCCTGGCCCAGGGCGGCTGCCCCTCCTTGTCCACGGAGCTGCTGCTCCTGCTGCAGCCGTTGTCGGTGCTCACCTTCCACCTGGACCTGCTTTTTGAGCACCACCACCACCTGCCCCTGGGCCTGCCTCAGGCCCCTGACCCCCCAGGCTCGCCTCCAGCCCTGCAGCAGACTGTGCAAGCCATGCTGCACTGGGGGGGTCGGCTGGCCCAGAGCCTCCGGGGGGCTTCTGGGGAGACCCCTCCAGGCCCTTCGGCCCCCTCAAGCCCTCCTACCCCAGGCAGCTGGTGGGAGCAGCTGACCCAGGCTTCCCGGGTCTACGCCTCTGGAGGCACCGAGGGCTTCCCTCTTCCCCGATGGGGATCGAGGCATCACAGGACTGCAACTGAGGTCGCACAGGAGAGGTCCCTGCCCGCAGAGGAAGCTGCACCAGGCAGAGGCGTATGGCTGGGGAGACTGTTTGGAGTGCCTGGGGGCCTCACAGAAACTGAGAGTGGAGCCCCAAAGTCCAGGTAATGGGGTTCCTGGTCCTCTCCATGACTTCTGATCTCCTCTCAGAGCCCTCAGTCACCCCAATTTGTTTTTTTTTTTTTTTGGCCGTGCCACACAGGTTGTGGGATCTTAGTTCTTGGACCAGGGATTGAGAACCTGGGCCCCAGCAGTGAAAGCGCTGAGTCGTAACCACTGGACCAGGGAATTCCCTCAGTCACCCCAATTTGAAACTCAGTAGGGATCCTTTAGGTCAGAGGTTAACAGTCTGGCTTTTCTACAGCCCTGAAGTAAAAATGGTTATATTCTTAAGTCGTTAAGTTTTAACAGTTATGTAAATACCTGCGTAATATTGTCCATTTTGCCTCTTGGCCCTCAAAGCCAAGAATACTTTCTGGCCCTTTAGAAAAAAAGAAAAAGTTCGCCAACTCCTGCTCTAGGTTTTGACCATTGGTAGCTCTTTAATGGCTTCAGGTACTCTCTAGTGACCCTCTGGATCTAAGCCTGCTGGTTCCATAGGTCCCTTTGTAGTTTTTGGTGTTGTAGACGTTCGTTGTCACCTCCCTAGTCACCCTAAAGGTAACTGTCCCACAACTGCCACTCTGCCGTCAGCAGTGACCAATCCTGACCTCTTTTGAACCACAGTTGCGTCCCTCAGCCTCTTCCTCCCTCCAAAGTCCTGGGTACTTGGGTTCTTTTTATGGAGGTGGGTTGACCTCTGTGACCCTGCATCCTTTCCTCCAGGAGACCATCCAGCTGGCTGCCCCCGACAGTGAGCGTGTTGGCTCTGGTGAAGCGGGGGGCACCTCCCGAGACTCCCTCTTCTCCTAAGGAACTTGAGGTCTCGGCACCCAGCACAGCGCAGACCCACAGGTAAGGAGGGTCGGGGAGAAAGTGGTGTGCGTGTTATACCTATGTGTTTTTCTGTCTTCACAGAGTGGATGGGAGGCGGTGTAAACGGCCTTGGGCTGTAAAGTCAGTGCTTGGTTTGCGTTGCATCTTTGCTATTTATTATTGGTGTGACACTAATTTCTCTGAACCTTAGTTTCTTTCTCTGTAAAAAGAGGATAATTTATACTTTTGTTATGGTTGTCATGAAGACTAAACGTGCTTTTATTCAATATAAAAGCATTTGGCACACAGAAGGTGCCCAGTTAGTGGTAACTTTTATTATGTTATGTGTATACGAATGCACACGTGTGTCCACTGGGGCACTGTTCTTCTCTTTAGTGGGGTCTTCTAATTTGGTATGAGGGGCTGCGTTGACTTTAGGGTCTGGCTTCGGTTCTCTCAATCCATGGAATTAGGCTTCTTGATTTTCCATTCGATTACTTTTCAGGTACTTACTATGTGCTTAGCATTATGCTGGGGGAGGGAATGCAAAGGAAAACCTGTTGGAGTCCCTGCCCACAAGGAGCTTGTATTCCAGTGGGGATACCAGTGAATAAACGAGCATTTACAATTCTGTGTGGGAAAGACTCTAGGAAAGGAAGACTGAGTCCTTTGGAGCCATAGAGACAGGGCTTCTTCCCCAGGTCTGGGGACTCAGAGAAGGCCTAGTGATGGTGTGGGTGTGCATCTGAAGGAACAGGATGCAAAGGTGGAGAAGCCCAGGTGTGGTAAGTGAGGAACTATGAGTACATGATTAGTTGTGGCTGGAGTGGAGGATGCTGGCAGTGGTGTTAGGGAGGTTGATGGCTTCAGTAGGCCAGCTAAGAAATCTGGACATCACTCCAAGGCAGTGGGAGCCATTGAAGGGTCTGAAGTCTGGTGACAACAGGCTTGCTAGTTTTAAGTTTTAGACTTAAACAGCTCTGACTGCTGTTTGGAGAATGGAGCTGGACAGGGTTGTCAAGGTTCAGGCACACCAGTTAGATCATATACCAATGGTCCAGAGAAAGAGTAGAGAGGCCTAAATGAGGACAATGGCAGTGGGGTTGAAGAGACAGATAGATAAAGTGGTGGGAGATACAAACATCAAACAGGTTTTGGTGATCGACTGGATATAAAGACTGAGACAGCCTGGTTTTTGCCAGGAGCAACTGGGTGGAAGGTGATGCCATTTACCACTATAGGGGACACAAGGGGACTGGTTTGGAGGGTTAAGATGAGTCATTTTGTTTGCATATGTTGAATTTGAAGCACCAGAGAAGTGCAAATTGCATCAAATAAGCAGCTAAAGAGTGGGTTTGGAGCTCAGGAGAGGGCTGGGGGCCCAAATAGAATCAACATGTGGTCCCCATGTCTCTTCCAGAGCCCAACTGATGTTTACTGAGCTGAACCAACAGGGACATACCATACAGTGGGAAGGTGAGGCTGGGGACAGCTGGGCACCCCTGCCTCACTTCATCCCAGCATCTCCCTCTGGCTCCTTATAGGGCAGTCCGAGCTCTCTGTGACCACAATGCTGCAGGACCTGACCAGCTGAGCTTCCGGCATGGGGAAGTGCTGCATGTCATCGCGACTGTGGATGAGGACTGGCTCCGCTGTGGGAAGGATGGAGTGGAGGGGCTGGTGCCTGTGGGGTACACCTCTCTTGTTCTCTAGGCCTAGGACCTTTTCCTTTCCTGCACCTCTCTCCCTCCTGTCACCTGGGAATGGAATGGCCTGTGAGCTCTCCCCCATGTAAACTGATCATCCCCGAAGTACTTTCCCTGTCTACAAAATGACACTTTCCTCCCACGTCCATTTCTGCTAACATGTAAAATAAACTTTCCTCCTTCCCTCCCATCCCATCTATAAGGTGAAATCTGCTCTTCTTCCAGATGTATAAAAAGGCATTTCCCTCCATGCAATCTCTTTCCTCTTTCCAACCCGCAGTAGGGAATAGCTCCCTATCTGCAAAATGCAAATCTCGCCCCCCTCTATCTTTTTCATCTGTAAGTAGACTGTGGCAGTGCAGTGTATGCCTCAGTTTCCAAGACTAGAAGGGCCTCTAGGCTTCTTCCTGTGTATGGGAACTTTACCCACTTCACCCATCCCATGTTGCCTGTATTTATGATATACTCATGCTGTACTAGGTGCTGAAGTCTGGACACCCCTGGCGGGTGGGCCTGTGGTGTCGGTCTGCCTTCTTCTTCCTTTGTCCCAATAAAGAGTGGGAGTTGAACGTGTCTGTCACTGTCGGTTTCAGGACATAGGCTAGGGGGGAGGGGAGGGAGGCCATATTATGGGGCGCCCAAGGGAGATGCTTCCTTCCTAGCCCAGGTCTAGTTCTTTCTGTTCCCTTAGGAATGATGAAGTAGTCCCCAATTGGTGCCTGACTTGCAGGAAGTGCCTCTCTAGCCTGAGACTTGATATCTTTGCTTGGTGAGACTGATATGGTAGGAGCCTGAGGAGATATGGGAGATGGGAAGACTTAGTCCATGAAATTGTACTTATCAGACTATCTGAGGTGATGGGAAGGATTAAAAGGTTTTAAGAAGGGACACATTTTTTTCTATTTAATATCACCATTCTGTGGTGCTATAATTTTAGGAAGCATAATAACTTAACATCTATTACTTTGTTAGGAGTTAATGAGTTTCAGGCCTTTGAAATGAGAATAGCTAAATGCTCTCGAGCTTGGAGGATGGGGCTGGAAATCACTATAAATGATTGCCTGGAGGAGAATCACTAAAAGGTTAGAAGAATGGAAAGCTATAATTATAACCAGGCAACAGGAAAGTTAGGGAGAAGCTGAGAACTATGAGGTGAAACAGAGGAAAGAAATTTTAAGTTTTCCTTCATCTTTGGGAACTTGGTTTAGAGCACAATGGGCTGGTGTTAGGAGAAAGGACTTGAGGAAATAAAAATCTTAGATCTGAAGCTTTGGAAATACTCAGGGGCAGGGTTGGTTAGAATCAGATGTCTCATACTTTTGCCATTTTCTAAGATTTAATGCTCCCCATTCCTGGCCAATTTATGTTATTCATCTGCTCCTTGCTTTAATTTTGCTTTTTGTGTTTGGCAGCCCTCTCAGTTTTGGACCTTAGTTTGCGTTTCAGGTGTTTTCTAGGGTGATGTTTTTCAAACTGGATTCTGAGAGCCTCTGGGAATTCATAGTTATATTCTTAAGAGCGGGAGTACTCAAGTTTATGATGCGTCTTCAATTGCAAATTACTCCTGCAAAAAGAAGTTCTGTTTTTATAAAGTTTTAATTTATAAAAGAGTAGATATAAAAGATGACTTTGGGACCAATATTTCTTAAAGTGAGATCTACAGAGTAATCTTTGTGGGGGGGCATGATTCTAAAGTTTTAGAAATCCTTTACTGATATAGAGCTTTAATTTCCTGTGATTCAACCTGCCCTCTCCTTTTCCTGACTCCTATCCCTATGTGCCTGGTTTTATAGTGGGTAATCCTCAAAAGTGGGAGGAGTCATAGAACAATACTGTCAGAGCATCAGTGAGATATGGTGATATTGGCAGTTGGAGCCTAATGGTTCTCAGGTAACAGAACAGGGGACCTCCTTGCAGGACATCTTGAGATAGGACAAACATTGATATGAAATTAGTTTTGTACTATTATCATTACATATTATCTAGAATAGAACAGCTGTAAGTAGGTATTAAAGGGATATTAAAGGTTAAAAAAATTAAAGATTAAAAAAACTACTAATGTATTGTTTTTGCAGCCATGAATAGACTGTTGTGTGATAGTGGGACGAACCCCAAGTTCTTGTAGGAGTGGAGATTGAGCTCTTGCAGTCAACTGTCTTGATGCTTCCGAGCAACTATAGTCTAGCTGACTCAAACCCTAAATGTCTGACTCCTGTCTGGGGCAAGATTTTGTTAGGTCTTTCGGTTGTTGGCAGGAATGGATTTATCTTCCTTAGTAGGATCATGCTTTGGCTATTTCTGACACTTTCCTATTTGCAGATGAACATAAAGATTTTGGAGTTCTGGCTCCAACACTAGTTACTAGGTGATCTTTGGCAAGTTATACTTAACCTTCCAGAGCTTCAGTTTTTGCTTCTACAAAAATGGGTATAGTAACTACAGAGGGCTATTATGAGGATTAACTAGCTACAAGATCTTGGGTGAGTTACTTAACCTCTCTGTTGCTTCAGTTTCCTCATCTATAAAATTTGGTTTTGGTACCAACCAAAAAGGCTGTTGTGAAGACTAAATAAATGAATACGTGTAAATTGCTTACAGTGGAAATGGTCTAACACAGTGGCCTAGAAAATGTAGCATAAACTTATGATGTCTATGTGTTACAAGGGGTAGAGGTGTAGAAGATTATTATGTTGATTGGCTAGGCTGGTCCCAGACCAAAAAGATTGTAATATTGAGGAAATGGCTTTATCTGATAGTCAACAGCGGTTAGCGTGCCCACGTGGGGCCCAGGATGCTGATGATGTGGTTTTAAACAGATCTCTTTGGAAACACGATGGAGAAGATCCTGAAAGACAACTGGAGGATAGGAAAGAGGAAAAAAATAGCAAGCTCATCACTCTGTAGTTAGGAAAAGTTTTTTCCATTTAATACTAGACTTTCAAGGATTGAGATGCAAGCTTTTTATGCAATTACATCCAATGTTAAAATTGGTAATACATAATTTACAAAGATTAACATCAAAACAATCATCTATTTAGATATGCTTTTGTAAAAAGGAAATATATTAGCAGCATTTATATTTTCCGCAATCACACAGCCTACAGACATGCAGACTAACTCTGTATCTATTTGCAGTGATGTAGTGCTTTGCCCCGCATTTCAAACACCAAAACCCGCCTGGCAGCTAGGGGGTTCTTTTTATTCGTTATTATAAAACAACCGAAAAATAAAAAAAGGCATTAATTTCTACACCAGTAAGAAAAAACAAGTTTTTGCACTTACCTAACATTTGATTGTCTAAAAAACATTTCAGTTTTTAGTCTTTCAACAAAAGAAAGATAAAATGACAGAGCGTAGTGTCTTTTGCTTCTGTTCTCGCATTTTACAAAGTTTTTTTTTCTTTTTTCGTCTTTTTTAAAATTTTAGTGTTTAACACTATTAAAGGAAATATTGAATTTTAATCTCTTTCTTGTCATTTTCCTGCTTTGACTAAAAGGAGACCCCCAAAGTGCCCCTATTCCCACCTCCCTCCCACCCGGCTCCCTGCAATGAAAACCAAAAGAAACCACTCAAACGGGCTTGGACATGCGATTTTCCCAGCTCCACACGTGAGTATCTTATACCCAGGTCTCTTAGTAATGTACAGTGCTTCTCTACAGTAAGAAAATACTCCAAACTATTTTCTTAATTCTCTTTTTTCTTTAATAAAATATTTATTCTGCTTTTTCTCTGCTCAAGGGGATCTTTGGCATCCCCTGTCTCTTTTGTTTTTTTTGTTTTTTCCTCAAGATTGACACAGAAAGGAGAAAAAGAAAGATTCAATGGAATGGAAGGTGGTCAATGTTTCTACCTAAACAAGTCAGAGCGTCGTCATCATAAGAGGAAATGTACAATTAGGAGAGCATTGGTCCAATATTAGAAAAAAGTAATGGGAAAATGTTTAACTATTGTATTGCTTACTAATCACGCAGCAGATATATATATATATATATACATACATATATATATACACACACAACTTGGCACATTTAAAAACCATCTTTTCTCTTATAAGAACACCTAAAACGTATATGCATATGTCTGTCTGAAAAGACAACAAAGCAAAGCTTTTTAAATTTTATTTTTAAAGAGACAGTATTATCTGGTAACTTCTGGTCAAGAGAATGGGAAGGAAGGTGACACCCTGGATATCCCTCCTGAAGATGAAGTCATCAGGAAGGTGGAGGAAAGATGGAACTAGGGGTGGGGAGAATACACTGTCTCTTTAAGAGATGGACATTGAAAACTGTACAAGTAAAACAAGAAGTAGTGTTTTCAATTGATAATCTACACTCACAACAAATACTCTGATAGGTGAATACTGCTCAACAGTTTATGTAGTGACTTTTGTTGGGGGGTGGTTAGAGTTCATTTTTATGTAGGTTTTAAAATGATTTTTCTTTGAAATGAATCTCCATTCGCACAGCACAGCAGACACACAAGAACCATAGCGCATAAACAGCACGTGTGCTGGCGGGGGCCTGGGCTTCTCATTAGAAAAAAATATGTTCGGCAGGTTATGAAGGTTAAAACAAAAATAGTTACAATAAGTACTGTGCCCTTCTGACCCCATGGGGGCCTTCCCTATTCCATGATTCCATTTGGGGGAGTAGAGGTAGGGAGGGGGCAGCAGTTACAAGTGCTTTGAGTTGTCAACTCACATTTTACTTTGACCTGGTTGGGCAAAAGAGGAGAGAGAAACTCTTCCTAGTCAGGGATTTGGAACAAGGCCCAGCTACTGTTTCTGTTTTACGTCTCGGGTAGCTCTTGGAGCCTATAGAGAACAGACAGGGTAGGGGTGGGGATCCTGGCCCTATCCCTTTGGAGTTTGAGTTATACCTGGGTATAGGAAGCAGCTTCTTAGCAATGCCTACAGGATCAGAGGATGACACAGAAAAACCCAAGCTGTGGGGAGGGTCAAGTGCTGTAAAGTACCAAAAGATTCTGGTCATCCCCAATGTGCTCTGCCCTCCACCCTACATTATTAACCCTCAGGGTGAAGCAATGGAGAGGAAAACAAGTTAAACTGAACTGTTTAGACAGATCCCCTTCCTCTTCCTCTCCACTAGCTCCAAGGTTTACTAAGTACCTAATGTCAATGACATGGCCCCATTCCCCTTGCTGGACGGACCCTTCCCACCCCTGTCTACACTCAGAGAACAGGAGGCAGGACTGTTAGCTCCACTGGATCCCAGATGCTTGAGGTTCTCATTCTTTGAGGTTCACTTCCGAAAGCTGTTTTCTGGGATAAACAAAGTACGCCTTCGAAGTTTCCTGCCTGATCCTTCCTCCAGCAAGTAGGTCACATCGATGGCTGAAAACAGAACCAAGGAGGCTCATCAAATACTACCCTCCCAACTCCTTATTCCAGATTTGAGCTCTCAGGAGATCACAGGAATTCAATGGTTCCATTTCTGACCTATAAGCAATTTAGGCCTTCTCCAGCCCCAAATGAAATAAGCTGTTCTCCAGGGAGGAGATCCTCTCACCTCCCAGTTTCATTCCCAAGATATAACTAAACACGGGTCCATGAA